AGAGAGAGAGAGAGAGAGAGAGAGAGAGAGAGAGAGAGAGAGAGAGAGAGAGAGTGTATATCTCCCCAATACAAAGGGTTGGTATTCTTTACTGACAGAATCTGAGAACCTGAAACTTGACTAGGGTCTCACCATGTTTTTAGTGTGTCATCTGACCTTGAGAAAGTCATTTATCTTCTCCAGTGTGTGAACTTACAGGTTCCCACACTTGGGACAGTAAAAAGGAATGTCTGATCTTTAGAGTTTTGAAATTCTGAGTGCTCCTGGTATATGTTTCTCTGTGTCTCTGTGTCTGTCTCTGTCTTTCTGTGTATGTGGTGTGTGTGTGTGTGTATGTATGTTGCATCTCCTTCCCTCCCTCCCCCCCTCCTCTCTCTTTCTCTCACTCAGTCTGTCTCTCTCTCTCTGCCAGGTTATTGAGAGGAGGAAAGACATACCTTATAGGTCTGACTGACTTAGACTCTTGGTGAGAAATTCCTTCCTTCTAGGCTAGAAGGAAGAATCTCAAAAGAATCGGCTACAGTTGAGATTTGGAATTTTCTTTTTACTCCTCCTCTCCAAGAAAACCCACACCAAAATGTTTGTGTGGGGAAGGGGCCAGAACTAACGGGGAAAATGTGGAAGAGAGTGGAGGTTGAACTGAAACTAACCAAACAGGATATCCCTAAGACCAATAAAAAAAAAAAAAATGCCCCAGAGTCACAGCATTTGAACCTTGGACTCCAGCCTCAATAACCTTTCCAAGAAATTCTGACATATTTTCTGCTGTCTAATGTGTCAAGCAGATTGCATAGTGGTCTCTGTTCCAAATCCCTTTTCTTCAGGCCAAGGTAAGCCTTGTAAGTTAAGCTATAGGAAGATGGCAATGATCATTTATGTTAGCTGGGCACTACTCCCCACCCCACTCCACTCAGATTCCTAATCTTAATGGAACTGAGAGTTAAGAATGATTTTTTAATGTCTCGTTGGATTTTTAGACTGTTAATGTACCGAATCCTTCTCATTATTACTTTATTGATTGCTCATTGACCAGCCCCCTTCAAATCGTATTAACCACCCTCTGCCGGTTTAGATTAGGAGACTTTAAAAAGCACCTTTCATTACTCCCCCCTCCCCAACTCCTGCCATAGAGTTGAGACTAGGCAGTTTAATGGGAGCTCTAATGGGGCAGCTAAGAAGAGAGGGGCCACGGTCCCTGCCGATTGCATTAATAGCTCAAAGGGGGCCAATACAGAAAATTAGCCGTAAACGAGCTCTGGAGATCTTCAAATGAAAGAGCCATTTATCACGCTGGCTACCTTCACTCCACTCGTTTGCTCTCTCTACTGGGAACAACTCATTTCCTCTTAACTAAATTACTTCAGAAATGTCAGCTAAGCCCACATAGCAAACATAACAAGAGAGGGAGTCTATAACGTATTGGGTGATATCAACAGGGAAGAAAAATGACATGGGTTAAGTTTTAGGAGTGGCTATGACACAACCTGACAGACAAATAGATCTTTTATACCTAGGTAATTAGGTTTCATAAACACAAGAGAGGGGATGCGTAAATATGGGCTAGTTGCTGGCCTTTTACTAACGAAGTATAATTTTCTAAAAAACTGTCTAAATGCCCATTAGAAAACAAATTAAGCAACCAAGTCCCCTGCTAGTTGCTGAAATTTAGAATATTCAGTTCAGGAAACTTTCTCACCTCTCTACAGAATTAATCTCACAGAAGCATTCCTCATGGGGATAGAAATATGTAAAGATGGGAGAGGAGAGGTGGGGAAGGAGCTAATGAACCCATAACTTTATTTTAAGTGGTTCCTGGTGAGTTAGAAAAATAAATCAAACATTTGTTCATTTTTTTGCCTATGGCTTTTAAAAGATAAAAATATAATATTAGGATCTTTTCTTTATGTAATAAAGCAAACATTCCAAGTATCGAATAATGGAACTGACCTAACATTCATATTTTATTACTCACCTCAAATCTATTAACATGAGCAGGGGATTACTTTAGTGTTTTAAGCCATGCATGCTTTTAGAAAGCTTTGGAGGAAAACATGTGGCAGTTTGAGAAAACAGAGAGAGCAATTTTAGTCAACACTCTTCTTTATCCCTGGAAATTACCTTGTGCATAAATATTCATGCTTCTCTGGCAAACATATTCAAAAATGGCAACCAAATGCTTCCCACATCTAAGAAAACCATGAACCTCATTTTTCTAGGCAAGCTAAGTTTCAGATATTTTTATTGGCCTGAATATTAATAACATTTCTGATTGGTCATCTGCTGGGCATGTCCCTCTGCCAGCCAACTGATGTTGCTAGGATACCGAACCCTGAGCTAAGCTGTTCTAGCTTGCCACAAAGAGGGAGGGGGAAATTAAACAACAGTGACAATAGGAAACAGAAAAGCTCCTCCCTCACCCCACCCCAATCAACCAGCAATTACCCAAAGGAGAAGACTCAAGAGAAACCAGTGAAAGTAAGTACTCAACACATTTGCCAGCTTAAGCGTACACCATGAGCGTACCAGCCAAAGATGGTGTTACCTAAAGAATACTGGGCAACATTAAAAAAAAAAAAACCCACACATTTCAAAATCAAAAGGCACCATTCAGCTGCTGTTTCTCCTTTCTACCTCTCAAAGCTATACATACATGACTTTTTAAAAGGAGAAACTTGAGCACACTTTTAACCCCTTCAGCATTCTCATATCACATTCTCCTATTCCCCCAATTTGAGTCTGGGTGAATTACTTTCTAAATTAGTCTTTTCTTTAATAATTTTCCGTTACTGTTAAGAGGCTCGAGTGAATCACGAATGGCTGAGGCTGGGGTTTGTTGACTCCTAACATAAAGACTATTTTCCTCTAGCTTCCATAAGAAAAGGCAGTAGTTAAAACTGTGTTTTCCAATACCAGTCCATAGGATAATTAAAGATCGCAAATGTGTACACATTCGATCTCTTAAATCTGTGGCATGTGACTGACATTCAGGCCTTGAAGCCGCTACCCTAATCGCCAGACATTCTCTTAGTGACTGTCAGAGAAGAGGAGAAAAAAAAAAATTAAGCAGCTGCAACGCGCCTGAAATGAGTTATTGTAATTACATTTAATTAGTTTAATTAGTTAATTATTTTGCTTACAGCTGTACAAGAGATTGCAAACATTTGTTAATATCACATGCCCTTTAACAGTATGGGGTGATTCCACAGTCATAGTAAATCATGGGTGCATATGCAGGAAGATTTAGATGCTTGCGTAGTCCGCCTCTCAGGATGAGCATCTTTAGAAAGCATTTGGCACAATTAAAAAATAATAATAAAAAAAGGAACAACTCATAACACAGAGAGAACTGGTAACACAATTACCACCACTCCCCACCCCACCCCCCCAAAAAAATCAAACCAAAAAACAAGGGTTGAGGGGAGCTATCTCCATGACACAGACTTTCACACAGCTAAATCCAGTTATGAACAAAATAATAATAGCATAGTTTATAAACCGGTGCTTTGCAGCCGTTTCACCGCATCATGATAATTGGTCATGTAAGATGCATTTTGAATGACTACCGTATATATTATGAGAAAAATGGCCATTGTCAGTGTTGCTCTGATCTCAATCCTGGTTTTTGACAGTGTTTCCATTCTGTTTGGTCCTATTTCCTTTTTCCCAGCATGCCCTTCTACCTTATCTGAAACCACTGTCTGATTACAACAAATGTTTTAGTTATTTTTTTTGTCATATAAAATATAAGACTTCCCCAAGGTGAATGCTTATCGTAAATACATTGAAATCTTTGCTTACATTTGAAAGGAACAATCCATACCTTTTTTAATGACTGACTGGTCCAATAGGTTCATGCCGCTGTTATTGGCATCTTCAACTGACTGTGAATATAAAAACATCGCCATTCAAATTGACTGGATATTAAAGAATTCCATACATAAATCATGTCACAGGAGTTTCTATTATTTCCATTTATATTAATTCACAAAGGGAGGTTTTATTATTATCCTTATTATCTCCAACTCAACATAGAAATGAAATTCACTGAAATAGTAAATTCTCGAGATAGAAGAAAAAGAAAGCAGAACCTATGAGAAACATCTGGTGTGTAGTGTTGACTTTGTTATTATCCGAAACACAGATATTATACAGACACATAAACTTTTATACTATTTGTCCAAATGAATTGTGAAAAGTTGGCAAAAGCTAAAAGATTTCTCACCAATATCAGTTAAAGCAATTTTATTTTTGTTTTTTCCCCCCTTCTATCCCAGTGCATTCAACCCCAGAGTCGTTTTTACAAATACATAATAGTTTATATTATGGGATTTTAATTAAAGTCTGAGCAATTTGGAATGGAATGCAAACAGCAATACAACAGCCTCCAGGACCTCACACCCACTGTAATCCACACACGTTCCTGTTCCTGTGAGCTATGAGCTTCTTGCTGCAGGATGACAGTCCCTGCAGGAGAGGAGCCTGTACAGGGTTCCACACACCCCCTCTGGCATGCTGGTGCTGCTGCCTAGCAAGGAGCACACCTGTTAGGAAATCAGGAACTACGTGGTACACACACACACACACACACACACACACACACACACACACAGAGGATCCTCCCAGTCAGCACCTTGCTAGTAACAAGGAATATCCATCTTCAGTTTCATCCCAGAGAGGGGAAGTTTCAACTCAGATTTGGCAGTACTTCTGAGAGAAGCGTTGTTGGAGCTAGTTCCTTGCTGTCAGGACTTCACGGGGAACCAGGCCTTCTAGCTGTGCATTGTGGGGTGTCAAGAAAGCAGATTCCCTTCCACCCTCCCCACTCCCAAGGAAAATACCCACTATCTTTTTGAACCTCACAACTGTTTCCCTTGATCTTTTGGAACTTAGGTTTGAACCAATTTGTCACCCACTCTATAAAGAAATATCAAAAGGCCTTTGAGAGCAAGGTGTCTCCCCAGCGCTTCCTATCCATTCAGGATGCTTCCTTAGACAGGGTGTGAGTCCATCACAAGGAAAAAAAAAGACTATCACAAACAAGCAATTGTGGCTTGAGAAATGAGACATTCTAAACCATCAGGGGGTATTCTCTGCTTGTTTCTTCTCAATCTTACTAGTCACTCTTCAGCTCTTGGAAGGCGGAGGGTGGGGTGTTCCTCCATTTGAACTGTTTTCTATGTTGAAGACTGCCATACACATCTTAATTGTGGGCAGGTACCTTAAAAATATTTCATGAAACTTGTTCTTAAGTTTCCAGGGGACCTTGTCCCATATATAGGCAGCCTCACACTCAGTTCACACCTTTCTAAACTCTGTGTGTGTGTTCCTGTGCGTGAATGTGTGTGTGTGTGTGTGTGTGTTTGTGTCTTGGCAAGGGCTATGGGTCCACCAGGGACAGAACTATTTACCTGTTTCGTGGGAGTGAAACCCATCACATATAGGGCTGGACTCATGAGTCCCCCCCAACACACACCTCACAACCATGTTGGTGCACAAATATGTATCCACGCCTCATCAGCAACGTGGGGTAGTTGTGGTAGTTAATGAGAAGGCTCTTGTCTGATTTTCTATCTAATTACGGCCGCCTGCTGGGTTTTTGTACAGGATATTCACGCAGCATGCTGGCGCTTAATCGTCACAGGGAGGATCGTAAAGATTTAATTAGGACTGCATGCGGAAGCGCAGAAAAACAACTCAGACTCATAATTACTAGACTTCTTTAGTTAAAAGTGATACCAGGGGTTGCTTTAAGACACAAGGGTGTGTTTTGAGTGATGTGTGTGTGTGTTTGTGTGTGTGTGTGTGTGTGTGTGTGTGTGTCTGTGTGTAGGGTTCACTTAATAGCATTATATGTTAATACTTGTGGGTGGTGGGTGGTAGAGGTGATGGCAGGTTAGAGAGCCAAGCTGTGAAGAACAAGATGCCTGTGTGGCAAGTAAACAAATCCACAACTAGGTGTCCCCTCATTTTCTTTTTCTGTAACCATTTCCCCCTGAGTTTTTAACACTGCCCCCCCTCCCCAATGGGTGAAATGTAGCATACCCGGAACCCAGACAGCGATCAGCTAGTTTAATAGCCCCTGTGAGTAAATTGAAATAGAAATTGACAGGGTTTTATAGTTTCATTTAAAAAATATTAGAAGCATTTGGTTAATTAGCTCTTCTCCTTTTCTCTCACAGGGCGGGCGGCCTCGTGAGTGTGCCTCTAGGTCACATGAAATCCCCCCAATCCTGGACCCATAGGGCCTAGGCAGCAGCACCCTCTGGCTGTCTGGTCCCTGGCTTCCAGTGTCCTGAATGCACATTGCCAGACCCTTGAGATAGAAGAAGTGATTCTGACGTCCAGGCCAAACCAATCTGTTGTCACTTCTAGAGACTAGAAAGGTGCTGACACCCCTCTTGGGTTTGTGGTCGCCTGGTGTGTGGAGTCCTGACAGCTTCCATAACTGTATCTAGCTCCAGAACTTGGCAGTGGATTCTTATGGGGGGGGGGGGGGCGCTGATCTGTTAGACTTCTGGAGCCTAGGGACTCATCTTCTCCTTCCTTCCCTGTACCATACCAGCCTTTCCCTAGCCCTATCACAGAGACCACGCTGAGACCAGCCTCATACCCTTGTCTTACTATTGAGGCTGGCATGGGCTGCATTCCTAGTACTCCTCACACTTAGGGCTGTTGAAGAAGGTCCCACAGGATTCTCTACATTGCCAGGCTATCAGCTGAAGGAAGAGGGAAGTAGGGAGCTCTCTCTAACCCCACAGTCTCAGAGCAAACTGCATCAGCTCAGAATAGATGCTGGGTTTCACTTAAATACTCTAAATCCATCCAGTTGCTTTATTATATTCTCCCAACAACACTTTTTTGGCTTTGTTTTTCCCCCTTCCTTTGCATTTTGCTAAACATTCAAAAACCCCTTAGAGTTCTGACTTAAAGAAAACATTCTAAATCCAAAGAGACTTGCTCCTTATTTTGGAGAGGCATTCCAGGGTTCAATTGCCTGAGTCCCTTGGCCTTCAGGTGCAAGTAGAGGTAGTGGATGATGTTAACACCCCCAGTGGTGCTGAGGATGTGTAATGGTAGTGGGTGATGTTAGCATCCCCAGGGTAATGGGGATGTTTTGTTGATCCACCTTCATTATTCAGTACTTTGAACCATACTCAGAAAGGTTAATTTAAAAACTTTCCCCCCAGACGCATATTACCCCAATGCATTAAAAAAAAAAAAGGCTCAATATTTCTTTTCTTATATGGTATTCTGAAATGAGCAATACCTCCAGACAGACACAGCTCACTAAAAATCAACAAAAACATCACTCTTGGTACTATGGGTGAATCAGATGATTTCCTTTTTTTAATAACAAGGTTCCTCTAAAACAATGAGGCATTACAGGCCATACAGAGGTGGTGTTTGACACTGTCACCACGTTTTGACTGTTTTTGAATACACACACACACACACACACACACACACACACACACACATATGAATAATGAAATGGAAAAGAGAAGGTAGCCAAGCCTCCTCTTTTCTGGTAATGAGGAATGAATATATATATATATATGTATATATATATATTCATATTCCCTCTCTTTTCCATTTCAGTTTCCTTTGCTCCAGAAGTAAGTCCACAATGATGCATAACTGTGGCAATGAGGTCCAAGTGTCAATTAAATGCTGTACAACAATATTTATCTTTTCTGGAGACTCGTTAAATCTGGGAGAGTAGGTGACGCAGAACTGTTCAGAATCACCCTGACAGTATTTAGGAATCATTTCTTTGATGTTTCTTTGTTTAGTTTAACCAAGTATTCTCATCTAAGACAGGCTCGGATGCGTAGGTTGCAGATGGGATACTGGGTGGGTAAGGATTGTGTTTTGAACCTTTTGTTTTAAAGAATAAACAATGATACCTCTTCAAGAGGGATGGCAACCTCCGGGAGGGGCGACAACTGTCAGAGGAGAGGGCTGAAGGGGAAGGTGGAGAACATTGCTTTATAATCAATTAATTGGCCCTCCAAGAGACGCAATTTCCAAACTGCTATCGTGTCCTCATGGATTCCAGAACCCAATCTCAGCTTTCTCTGTCGACCCCCCATCCCCAGCAACGATCCCCTTGTCAGATGATGGCCTTAGAATTCTGCTTGGGAAAGGGGCTCTGCAACTTTTGGAAATTCAGAGCAAAGGGACCATAAACAAACACTCAGAGTGTATTATCATTCCTAGCCTTCCACACCAGAGAAAAAACCTAGATCCTTCAGTGGCCCTTGTGTCTTCTTGTTTAGAGCTCTGTTCTGTAGACAGCCAACACTTTGTCCACCAAGCCAGCGGGACAGGCTCAACTATGGATTACTCCTGGAGCCAACTTCTCCACACAAAGCAACAGAAAATGACAAGTCCAGTAACTGAGTCAAGACGAAAACATTAACCTTGATGGCAGTGACTGTAAACTATCACAAACGTATTTCCTCCTTCGAGATTTAATTTCCAGCCGTCCTGTCATTCATAAACGGATCTCTAGAAACCGTCACCACGTAGTCACACAAACACACACTTTTGTCCTGTCTGGTTGGTCCGGTTCTAAAGATGACAACCCTCCCCCACCACCACCACCAGAGAAGATCAGGCCGCCCCTCCCCCTTTCCTCCCCTCGCCCCCGGCATTCTTCCTCTATTATCGGTTATGCTTATTTTTGTTTGTTTGGAATTACCTGCACGTCTTCCATGCCGGGATGCCCAAGGCCGTGCAAAGAGAGGCTGTCGCCCATGCCGGCGTCCAGGCCGTGATGCGCGGAATGCAGCAGCACGTCCGGCCGGCGGACAGAGTGGTAGTCCCTTCGAGGGTCAAGGCCGGAGAGCTGGGGCAAGGCTGCCCGGGGCTGGGGCAGAAGAGAGCCGGCTTCTGAACCCACTTCTTGGCGTTGTCGTTGCCCCCACGGGTGCTGCTGGGGCTGATGCAGAGGGTTCAGGGAGTAGGGATCGTTGACATGGGAGTACGGGTCTTGACTCTGGTGGTAGGGTAACGGCTGGTAGGGAGGCGGGAAGTAGGGTGGCTGGAAGTCCGATGATGGTGTGTGGGACAGCGGCGGGGCGCTCGAGTAGGGTCCTTGGGACACAGAGCCCAGCTGAGACAGTCTCGAGCTATGGCTTGGGACGCCATCGTGCCGGTCCTGGGAGGCGAGAGAGGAGCGAAGGAGGAGAAAAGAAAGGGAAGAAGGGAGAAAGAGAAGGAGAAGAAAGAAGAGAAGAGGGAGAGAGGAGAGAGGAGAGAGGAGAGAGGAGAGAGGAGAGAGGAGA